TGGCATGGCTTGCCGTGGGAATTCCTGCAGTGGTAATGGTGCGGGACCCTGGTCTCGAAGCCCGGAGGAGCTCTGCACTGGTTTATCCTATTTAGCAATGCTGAACTCTGCCCTACGCCTGCTGATAACTGCTGCTGGCTATACCGATCCGGTCATGTAATGCAGTTTGTTGCATGGTTTTGCCAGTGTTTTCTTTAGGGGAAAACCAATTATACAAGTCAGGTTTAACCTGCTTAATGGAGAACCGAGTTTTTAAACAATGCTGGCAAATACTTTTTTTCATCTTGTAAGATCGTTTCAGTTTTTTCATACAGTCACATTCTGAACTAAGTATCTGAATTTCTTACTATCTTTAGTGATACAGGATGCTGTTTCCTTTGGTATTGTGCGCAGTTGTGCTAACAGGGAGTGGTAAAGTTCAAGGTGATGAGTGGATTGACCCTACAGATATGCTCAATTACGATGCAGCATCAGGAACAATGAGAAGACCTTACAAGGTAGGAAAAGAAAGGATGCATGAATACGCGTCTCTCCCAAAAAGTCCTTCAACCACTTGCCTTTAAGTCGCGACATTAGAAAACAATAGGATTATGGTCTTTTTAAGGTCTTACGAGGTTACATCTGAATCTCTACACAGAAAAGTGTTGTGTGTCCATTGTTAACATTTCAAGAAAAAATAGCCCTGGGCCTTTTACCGATGAGTTTCTGTTGCACCCTGATCAAGTCACAGGAACCATGCTTTTCATCTTTTCATGGGTGGTGGTTGCTTTATGTAGGTTGTAGGTCCACAAGTTACTTCTCTGAGAAGTACTGGGTTAAGCAGCTCTTGCTAGTTTCTGAAGTATAGCGTTAAATATCTTGAAAATTAAGTTCCTAGCTGATAAAAGTTGGGGAAGTTAAGGTTAAGGATTATATTTTACTTGAATTATCCAGTTCCCCAGTAATATGGAAATAAAGCCCATTTATTGCGTGAGAGTATTATGAAAGTCAATGGTGTTTTGTAATGCTGGGCATCAGACTTCTCAGAAGGAAGATCAGAATAGGGGTCGAGTGCTGTACTGTTAATAATTCATGAACATTGAGAAGATGAAATACGAAAAGTTAGTTCTAACAAGGTGAATCATCTTCGTTGTCTTGTATGAAGGGGTGGACGCTACATATATCATGAGATGTGTGTTGTTTATCCAGTACATACACGCACGTGTGGCACTGTAAACTGTGGCTGGTTATATGCGCACTCTTCATTTTCCTCGTTCTTCTGTTTTAACGCTTCAGAACATAATTTTCTGAAGCTTAAAAAATGCAAACTGCATTATTTTTCTCCTCAGCCTCCACCTGCCCCAAGTCCACCAGTCTTTGGAGTCTTTAAACTTGGTGCCCAACTGCTTCATCTTTTATTAAAAAAATATTAGGAGCTTCACTGTTGTCTCCCACGAAAATAGAACTGCATCTTAAAGAAGAAAAATGACTGCTTTGCGTTACTCCATCTTTTCAGGATTTCTTTTCTGTTCTGCAGTGAGAGGTTTTAGGTGGGCAGGCTGCGTGAGCCGCCCGAGTCCTCAAAACCAAACTTCGTATCAGCGCGAGTTCACTGATTTAAGTGACGCTGCACTTCCTTTTGGAGACGTCCCTCAATGTGCATGCCTCCTTGTGTAGAAGCAGCACTGCTACACCTAAGTCTGAGCAATGAGCAGAAAAAGTCTTCAGGGTGAAGAGGGAACATAAAAGGAAAGGCATGCGACCAAGAGTGGGGCTTTGTGTTTGCTTTCAGTCTGGCTGGCTGCGTGGCTGGCGGGACTGGGAATTTGTCTGGCTGAAAACTGCCCCTTTGCCTGCTGAGTCGGTTTTTAGCCAGTCCGATTCTCTAATCCGAGGCCCTGCGTGGCTCACCAACACTCAGAGGAGGTGAAAGAGCAGGTGGGGGAGGAAAGGGCAAAACCTCACCTTTTGGAGGCATCATGCATTTAGATAAAGCAATTGTCCATTCCAAACCTAAAATAACAGCAGAGAGGCAAATGGATTATCACTGGGAGAGCATTAGCATCAAAGACCAACACAGATTTTAGCTCCTGTGTGCCTTTTAGAGTGATTTTACTACAGAAGTGTAACATGGCATATTGACAAAATTATTTGGTTCTAAAAATATGTTTTTCTGATGTAATTTTAGGCAAACTATCATGACTCAGAGGAGAAGACTGTGGATACAGTCAGTACTGAAATCTTATCGAGTTGTTCCAGGGAAGTAGATTCCTTGCAACAGAAGGTTTGTTACAGAACTTCAGAATGTTTTCCAGCCTTTCATAGTGTGTGCTTTCTGATGATGCTTTTCTGGATAGTGTATAACAGGTGAATTGCTGGCATAATTCGTGAGAGACCGTGCATTATGTAGGGGGAATCTTTATTCAGAGGAGAGACTGGAAGTGGTTTGAACTCAATTCCAAATTGCTGCTTTGGCTGCCAAGGTCAGTTTCCAAAACTGTTTTGTACTGTAACAGAAGTTGATAGGAGCCACCTGCTTCTGTCCAGTGGCAGCAGTTTAAACATGCAGTGTTGATGTTACGCCTGCTGCCAAAAGCTAAGAAACCTTTCATTTTCAAGTTGTTCAATTCTGTTGGATTTTAATGGGTGGGCTGTGAGTGGCTGACTGATACATGGTGCCGCAGCTCTCAGAAGCCACTGTAAGCCCCCCTCCACTACTTCTTCCTCTGAGATCAGGAGAACATGGTGATGCTTGTGTAGCTACTGTGGCTCTCACTTCTCTCAGCCATTTGGAGACCCGGTGGGATATGTCATTTTAATGTTGCTTTTGTTACTTAGTATTTTTTACGGTTCTCTCTCTCTTCCCCCCCCCCCCCCGCCCTGATGTAAATTTAACGTTTAAGGAGATCCAGATCTTTATTTTTTTTCTAGTCTTACTGAGGTTGGTATTCAAACCGTATTATTGGCAGATCTGAAATCTCCAGTACTGGCCAGTCCCATGGAAAGCAGTATCTTCAGCAACTGCATACGCTTTTTATCTCGTGGACTAATCATGGGATTCTTGCTAACCTAAAGAAATGTGCCTCTGTTAATCCCGAGTTTAATATGTTGGTAGGGTTTTTTTTCTCCTGTGAACAAGCTGGTTTGAGCAACAAGTGAATAAAATGTCTTTACATTGCAGATTGCAGAATGTGAGAACAGGAATTTTTTTTTAGCTGTAGCTTTTATATTTTGAAGCGATACTTGAATAAGATTTTGAATGAAGCTGGAAAACTTGGCCTTGTAAGTATTGAACATTCATTAAAAATAAATTAGAATTCATATTACTACTTTATGTGTTTTTCACAGTTATCAAGTATTGATTAATTATTTTGGCATACTTTAATTTAAAATGAGGGGAATTGAATTGCAAAGGAAAAAATGGTAGACGTATGTGCATCCAGTGTTGCTGTTAGTTAGTTAGCAGTGACTGCTCAGGAGAGACAGTTGCCATGTGGTCTGCAAAGCATCCAAAGTATGACTATGTGAATTCAGAGTATGTGGCTAGATGTGTACTGCTCAGATGCAGCTACAGCAATAACACTGTTCGGTTCCTGTTAATGGTTGTTGAACTTGAAAGAAACAGATTTTGTTTGGTTGGTTGTTGTTGTAGACCTTTTAGGCCTTTGCTTTTGGGTCTAGCACATTAACCAGCTAGGCATAGTAGCTTATTAGAGTCTGCGTATAAAAATCACCTTACTGCTTTCTTTACTATATTGTCTTCGGAGATTTTTTTTTCTCCTATTCAGAGGTAGAGGAATACATTTTTAGCAATAAGCAAGATCAGTATTTAACAAAGAACATCATACTTAGCAATGTAAAATTACTTATTTCAGTATTTAATAGCTTCTGTCTGTATTACCCAGCCACACACAGCACATTAGTAATTACTTGTTAATGAGAAGTGGGTCTAAAATTGTAATAACAGGTGAGATAACTCACTTCATTTTTTAGGTTTTTGCTGTAGAACTGAACGAGTACAAAGCAGCTGAATTTGTGTTTTTTATAATTCAGAAGAATGAACAAAAAGGTTATAGAATCATAGCGTGCTCCCTGTCCCAGGTCTTCCTCCTGCAGTCTGCCTCAAAAAGGTGATGGTACATAATGAGCGTATTTTATGAGGTTTTTGCTTAGGGATACAGTTTTTTGTATGTGCTCCAAATAAGCAGATTTTAACAATTGTTTTGCTTTGCTTTTAATTAAGCCTGAGGAAAATGTGGGCCACGTCCATTACGATGCTGAGATCATCCTTACAAAAAAGACATACTTGGAGATCCTCAGGTTTCTCACTGAGGAAACTTGGCAGTCAGGTGCTGTGGATGATGCACTTAGTGATATTTTGATCAATTTTAAGCACCATGATTATCAAGCTTGGCACTGGAGATTTGAAGACACTTTTGGAATTGATCTATATAACGTGTTTCTGGTAAGAGAAGAAGAAATGGCTTTTGTTGGTTTTTAATTGCAGTTTTCTCCGGGTTAGCCAACGAATCTTACCGTCTTAACTCCACATGTAACACAGTTCTTCCCATCTTACTTACAGCAAGTCACTCTTTTTGTTCCATGGTTGCTGAAGGTAGAGGCAATGTATTCAGTTGAAGTTTTTTATTGCCGTGGTCATAGTTTGTTACTGTACCTTCACATTTTTTTTCTGGTATGCTTTCTTTTTCCTCTTCCTTTTATATCTGTGTTGTGTGACTCATTAGACTCTACTACTTTCTTGTCACTTAAACAGACAACTTGTGCATTATAAATTTTCCAGATTTGTCTCTTGTTCAAATAGATGCTGAAGCTTGTTGGCTTCTGTAGGAGTTGGAATACGTTTATATTGAGACAAATATATATTTGAGGTCTTAGATTTTATAGGTTAGAGGTTTTTGTGAATTTTGTGGAAAAATATTGCATAGTGTTGGAGAGAAGAACATGATGGTGTGAATATGTTACGTTCTCTAAAATGGAATTACAAAGTGCTAAGCTGATGATCTAGAATCATAGAATAGTTTGGGTTGAAAGGGACCTTTAGAGGCCATCCAGTCCAACCCCCCTGCAAGGAGCAGGGACATTTTCAACTCGATCAGGTTGCTCAGAGCCCCATCCAACCTGACCTTGAATGTTTCCAGGGATGGGGCATCCACCACCTCTCTGGGCAATCTATTCCAGTGTTTCACCACCCTCACGGTAACAAATTTCTTATACCTAGTCTAAATCTCCCCTCTTTTTAGTTTAAAGCCATTACCCCTTGTCCCATCGCAACAGGCCCTGCTAAAAAGATTGTCCCCATCTTTCCTATGGGCCCCCTTTAAGTACTGAAAGGCTGCAATAAGGTCTCCCTGCAGCCTTCTTTTCTCCAGGCTGAACAACCCCAACTCTCAGCTTGTCCTCGTAGGAGAGGTGCTCCAGCCCTTGGATCATTTTAATGGTCCTCTTCTGGACCCGCTCCAACAGGTCTACGTCCTCCTTGTGCTGAGGGCTCCAGAGCTGGATGCAGGGCTCCAGGTAGGGTCTCACCAGAGTGGAGCAGAAGGGCGGAACCACCTCCCTTGACCTGCTGGCCCCACTGCTTGTTTATGCAGCCCAGCTATGCTTGGCATTCTGGGCTGTGAGCGGACTTTGCCGGCTCATGTCCAGCTTTTTATCCACCAGTACCCCCAAGTTCTTTTCCACAGGCTGGTCCCCATCCCTTCACCCCCCAGCCTGTATTGATACTGGGGGTTGTCCCGACCCAGGTGCAGGACCTTGCACTTGGCCTTGTTGAACCTCATGGGGCTCACATGGGCCCACTTACTGAGTTTGTCCAGGTCCCTCTGGATGGCATCCCATCCCTCAGGCATGTCAACCACACGAGTCGGTTTGGTGTCATCTGCAAACTTGCTGAGGGTGCCCTCTGTCTATGTCATTGATGAAGATTAATTAAACAGCACTCGTCCCAGTATGGATCCCTGAGGGACACCACTTGTCAGTGATCTCCATCTGGACATTGAGCTGTTGACCACTACCCGCTGGATGCGACCATCCAAACAATTCCTCATTTACCAGTCCACCCATCAAATCCATCTCTCTCTAATTTAGAGAGAATGATGTTGCAGGGGACCATGTCAAAGGCCTTACAGAAATCCAGATAGATGACATCCATAGCTCTTGCCTATAAGCTTTCAACCTGCTCGTGGCTATTCTTCAGAGACAGCTCTTCACACTCTATCTGTTTCTTGATGTAGAGGGCAACCCCACCGCCCCTACTTCCTTGCCTGTCCCTTCTGAACAGCCTGTAGCCATCGATAGCCACACTCCAGTCAGCTGAAGCTTATCCCGTCGGATAAGCTAAAGCTCTCAGAATAAATCTTTATAATTCAGAATATGCTAATGTTTTATGCTAACATGATCTCAAAAGTAGCCTGTCTAGTTTTGAGGGGATCCATGGAAGCCAAATGAAAAAAGCAACCTGTCGGAAGTGTAACCTTGTGGTAGACTCTAAAATGCTTTTCTGAAGTCTTGCTGCTGGTAGGCAGACTGTAACTTTGTCCCTTAGCCGAACTGCAGGAGTTGGCAGCAGTGGTTATGTGGTTCATACCAGGCACAAACTACTCAAGCACTGAATTACATCAATTTTGTAATTTTAAAGTATGGTCGGTAACATGATAAATATTGTAAGGAAGCAATAACTAAATATCACAAGAAAGAAATGAGCAACTGCAAGGTCAGGCTGTGATAGGAATGACTGCCAGTAGCACCGTGATGCTTTCCTGCCCTGTACTGCTGCAGATACACTGTGAAAGCAAGGAAAAAGTCTCTCAACTGTTCAGTGTAAATGGTGCTAGTAAAAATGAAAGTTGGAAGTTCCTTCATATGTATTGGCAGTAAGCTTGGAAAATTCTGAATCTGGATCGTAATTTTTTCCTGTTTTGTTTTTCAGATACTCTTGTGCTTAGTGTGCATTGTGACTGTAATAGCTACAGAGCTCTGGACACGTATTCATTGGCTTGTTCAGCTAAAACGCGTTTTATTAATAAGTTTTCTCATCAGTTTTGCATGGAACTGGCTTTACTTGTATAAGGTAAGTTGTTCTAAAATCTTTATGGCTTTTAGGCTTCAAATTTTACAGTTATGAGGGAGTCAATGTTACTTAGTTCCTTTAGTTAGCTTATATAAAACAATAATTGACCGCAAAATAAATAAAGGGATGAACGTTCTATTTTGCATGTTGACAGGTGGATTAGGCTTAGAGAAGAACAAAGGAAACCCTGTCAACATCTATCCTGCCACAAAGGTGCACAGTTCATAAAGCAGTAGAACTGGTTCACTGCATGGTCAAGGGAGACAATAAGCTCTGTCTAAAGCAGCTTGGTAGAAAAGTCTTAAGAAAATACATTGTGGGATTTTTTTCTTTCTAAGGGTTCCCTAGCTGAAACTGTAATTAACGTGATAGACCAGAGATAAATGCTTCATTACTGGTGACAAAGGAGCTGGTTGTACAATGGTATTGGTTTTAATGAGGAGGAATTTATGCTGCTAGGTCATAGCCCAGCCACAGAATCTCGACATTGGAATTTAACTGTGGCTTGTCAGACCCAGGAATAGCGGAGTGCCAGAGCATAGGATGGCCCTTGAACACGAGTGGACTGCCATGCAGAGGACTTAGATTGAGTCAGTGAAGAATATTGGTTGTTCCACAGATAATTTGACCTAATTTTTTCTATTTGATTATCAGTTGCAAACTGTAAGGCAAAATTTAATGAATACGGGTATTTGTTAATGGGAATTAATTAAAAAATAGAACAGAATGTCTTGATCTTTGAATTAGCAAATGCATGGCAGCTGTCTCTATTTTTAATCCAGAAACATTTGAAGGAAACAAGATGTCAGATTACTTTTGCCCTGAACTATGTCTTTGAATATTGAAGTTTGCTCTTTCAGTGAGTCAGACTCCATTTGGAGAATAACTCAAGAGGTAGCCATCATGGTACTTAAGAGTTTAACTCTGTTAAATTGTTTAGGTAGCAAACTTTTCTTAATATGGATTTACCCAGCTCATTATCCCAAACCTGCTAAAAGCCAACATCAGGTGCTGTGCTGCATGGATGCAGGTGTTCTGTTCAGCACTCCCTTGCTTTATGTTTTACAAGTAACTCTTACTCTCCCGCAGCTGGCCTTTGCACAGCATCAAGCAGAAATTGCGAAAATGGGGCAGTTTGATAACATCTGTTCTGAGAAGCTGGACTGGGGGGAAAGTCTAATTGGTAAATACTTGTTGCATTATTTTCTAATAGTTTTTAAGATCACAAAATACTCAGCAGTAGAATACAACAATACTTGGTAATTTCTTCATTGAGTAGTACATTGAATCTTCTATTGAGACCCCACCTGGAGCACTGTGTCCAGTTCTGGGCTCCCCAGTTCAAGAAGGATGAGGAACTCCTAGAGAGAGTCCAGAGGAAGGCTACAAAGATGATGAGGGGACCTGGAGCATCTCCCCTATGAGGAAAGGAGCTAGGCTTGTTTAACCTGGAGAAGACTGAGAGGGGGATCTCATAAATCCTTAGAAATATCTTAAGGGTGGATGTCAGGACGACGGAGCCAGACTCTTCTCAGTGGTGCCCAGCGCCAGGACAAGGGGCCATGGGCACAAACTGAAGCAGAAGAGGTTCCAGTTGAACGTGAGGAAGAACTTGTTGACTGTGAGGGTGCCCGAGTCCTGGCCCAGGCTGCCCAGGGGGGCTGTGGAGTCTCCTTCTCTGGAGATCTTCAACCCCCGCCTGGACACTGTCCTGTGCCCCCTCCTTTGGGTGAGCCTGCTTGAGCAGGGGGGTGGGACTGGGTGATCTCCCGAGGGCCCTGCCATTCTGGAATTCTTCAGCAATACATGATTTTATGGTTTTACCATTTTTCTAGTCCACAAGACTTCCTTTTCTAGGCCTTTGAAAGAGGGCTAATCACAAAACTGTGCTTAGAGCTACACGGTGTTTTTCCTTATAACTTACCCTCTGTTTCCCCAGCTCCCCTCCCCCAGCACCATTTAGTGCTGTTTATTGAAGATAGGAGGGCAGAATTCAAGAAAAAGTTGGGGTTTTTTTACCTTCCAGGCCTGCAAGTACAATGGAGTTCAGAAATTAGATCTGTAACTACTTCCTCTGGTGTTATTTTACAGAGAAAGCTAAATTTTTTTATTGGCTGTTTCTTGTTCTCCAATGCTATAGCAGGTAAATTAATGATGGCATCTCTTAGCGAGTGCTTCTTATGGTCTTCCCTTTAGAATTTATTGGCTGATTGCTCTGTGTCAAATTTCAATGGTGACTGCACTAAAATCAAACTGATGTCATAAATTACTTGTTTATAACTTAAAAGTTCACTTAAGGAGTAAGACTTTCTGCTTATAACTAAAATAGTCTCTTGAAATCTAGCTAGCAAAAATACATGTTTTTAATCTACATGCAGCCTGGCAGATGAGTATTAACAGTCAGAATTACTTCTGTTTCAGTAGCTGTGGACAAGATGTACTAGATAACACTTCCCACAGACAAGACTTATTTTTCTTCTCAGGCTTGTAGGGACTAACTTCATCTAATAAAGAGAACGTTCTTGACTAAACATGGGAAAACCTCAGCTTCTTCTCTTTCTTTCCAGCCTTCCCTCTCCTTCCTGCATCCCCATGACTGGATAAACTACACTACCAAGCTAATCTCAGGGTTTTAAAAATAAATCTGAGCTTTGAACCGTATCTAGAAGAGTTCGCTTCCATCTATGATTGAACTGCTACTTTCTGTATTACAACTGTGTCACAAAATATTTTTTTAACTATTTGGAAAATATGTCTCTGCTTTGACCACAGAATGGCTCAGAAGTAAATGGACATTTCAGGATGATCCCTGTCAGAAGTACTACGAAACTCTACTAGTAAATCCTGTTTTGCTGGTTCCACCAACAAAGGTATAGGCCAGGCCTAAAGAGATTGTTGATGTTTGTGTTTGCAGCTAGTGACAATGCTATTTTTCTGTTTGTGTTTTCCTAGGCACTGGCAATTACTTTCACCAACTTTGTAACTGAGCCTTTGAAGCACGTAGGACAAGGTATTGGTGAATTCATCAAAGCACTTATGAAGGAGATACCATTTATTCTGCAGGTTCCAGTGCTAATTATGATGGCTCTGGCTGTTCTGGTTTGTATATGTTTATCTTATATTTAAAAGCTCACTTTTATTTTTTATAGATTAAACTTATTTATATTTAGGTATTATTATCTATTATAGTATTTATTTCGTGTTTGTGCTACTGAACAGATTTCTTTAGCCCACATGAAATTCCCTACAAGGGCATCTTTTTCTTGACAAAAATCTTCATAGTATAGTCGCTTAGCAATTAAAATAAGTTTATATTTAAACTACATCCACGTGGGATGAAATAGCATTTCACTGCTTAAAATCTTAGAGACTGATAGTTTATTGCAGCTTAGTTCCCATTTCTTCTCTGTGTCATTACACAATGATGCATATAATTGGCATTTTGTACTCGAAAGCACCTTTAGTGTAGCACCGAGTATGAACTACATCCAGTCTGGCAGTTCCTGCAGTGTGGTCAGACTGCGGAAACCTTGGATTTTACTGTAGCTGTTCTGATCACCTGAGCTTTTCTTTCAGTGCTTTTCAGATATGTGACTTTCAATTCTGTGTGAAAACCATAGGCTGTAAATATTTGGTGTTTTGTTCTTCTTCCACCACTTTAGGCTTTCTGCTATGGTGCAGGATCATCAGTGCCTATGTTAAGATACTTAACATCTTTTCAGAAGAAAAGTCTTCCTCCACCTGACAGTCAACAGGAGAAAATAGACTTTGGGCAGTATGATGGGAGTAAATCAGATGGCTATTATTCGCAGAAGCTTCCTTACATTTATAGAGGACCTTACGATAGAGGAGATGCTCCTGTGAGGCCAGGAAATGCCAGCAGAAGTCCTGACATCATGCATAGAAGCAATGAGCCAGATACGCAAGTAGAAGAGTCTCACAAACCGGAACCTGGTGTATGTTAGTCCTGGTGCTCTTTGAGCTGAGATTAAATTGAGTAGATTTCAATGTCTGCTTAACCCAAATCTTGGGGAGAGAGGAGTTAAGGAAGTACCTGTTCCCCTAACAGTTTGGTAGAAGCAGCTTGGGCATGTTTTGTGCTGGAAAAATACTGTGCAGTGGCTAACTGTGGCAGGAACCTAGTGAATTAGAACTCTTTATAGTAAAGACTTAAGAGTACTGCTCTCTCAAAACAGAAGTTATTAGTGAATTAGAACTCTTTATAGTAAAGACTTAAATAACTTCTGTTTTGAGAGAGCAGTACTCTTGTCAGCCTGGGCAATAATGATTACCTGTAGAGGAAAGGCAGAGGGGGACAAAAACCAGTGCTGATTTTTCTGTAAACTATAGAAAATTAAAAAACAGACTTACACTCTAGACAGTACATGTAAATAAGCAGTTTCCCCAAGAGAAAAAAAAAAGTCATGCTTTGGGGGAGTTCTGCCCTGAGCTGAGATGCACCTGAAGCAATAGATGCCATCACTTTGGATTGCTTGATTAATAGCTTATTATTAATTTTTACAGAATAGATTGCACACTGAGTCTGAAGTTTGTAGACTAGAAACTATCGCAGCTGAAAACCTTGCTGAAGAACATGCCCATGAGCAGCAGAAACAGGAGCCAGGCAGAGCAGAGCGAGAGACTGGAGAAAATTGTGATCCTGGTAAAAACCTAGAAAGGAGAAGTTCTGCAACGGAACCATGTGAAGAAAAGAAAAAGAGCAGATCACGTGACTCAGGGGACAGTGACTAAGGACACCCCAAGATCGGCTGTAAGTTTTGTCTAATCTTTAGTTGTTAACATACTTGCTATTTCTGCTCTACTTCTCAAATGTAGAAAAGAGTATCAGCAAGCTGATGGGAACTCATCTTTGGTCAGAGCATTAGTAAGCATAGCTTTAAGGTGGGGTTTTAAAAACTGAGACTGAGTATATGTACTACTTCTGGAATTTGAAACAAATGTGTTAAGATAATACAACTTTAACAGGCCAAGAGAACAGGCTTGTGGGTGCTGCTGCTTGTTTGAAATCAAGTTTGTGTAATAAGTTTTGAGTAAACCCAGATATTCTGTGGTGGGAAAGCACTGCTACTGTGATCTAGCAAACATAAGCCTAACCAGGTAACTGTCGAACAGCCTGAAGAAAGTTGCTGATACTCATGTAATTCACAAAAGACTAATCGCAGCTCAACTAGAAGTCTCAGGACTACCTTTGGTTTATGTTCTTTAAAAAAATCACTCGTAAGTAGAATTGCTGCTTGTCAGCTCAGTTTTAGGACAGCTTGATGATTTTCTTCTGGTTCAATAATTTGCAGAGGAGTGAGAAGCTAATGATGTATCAGATGTTTTTTTAGGGCGATTCAAAGCTGAACAGGGAATAGGAAGCACTTAGCAAAAGTACTGAAGATCGGCCTTGTAAACTGACGGTAACACATGCTACCTTTGGTGTTAAAATCAGTGGTGTCTAACTCAAGATGCCTACCCTTAAAACAACATAGAGGCCTCAGGGTTCCCAAGAATTACCTCAGTACAGGTATTGTACCACAGGGAAGACTTAAGTTACAACTGTTGTTCCCAATAACTGCTCCAGCATAGCACACCCTTCTCAAGAGAAGGATAAGTAGTTGAGGTCAAGTACTAAGTAGCATACATACATTTACTGTTTGTAACATTTTAAATTCAATTACTGCAGGAATTACCCGACGTCCATGGTGGTTACCTACCACCCCTGTGATCCCCTGGTGCATGGACCACTACTGGTGATGGACATGTACCACACAGTCTATAGAACAGCATTGGTTGGCAGCTGTTACTTAAAGACAAGTATATCTTCCTAAAAAATTCTTGATTGTAAAACTGTACTGAGCAATACATGAAACACTTAACTAAATATTACCCAAAAACCCCAGCATGTTTTGAAAGAATCTTTTTGTATTAAACAGAATTAAAACTAGGGTTTGGTTATTTTTTTAAGTAAAAATGATTGCAGAAACAGAGTTTGGAAGACACAAAGACAGACTAAGTACTGAAGCTATTTATCTTTTTTTGTTTTTTAAATTTTTAAAAAAGTATAAAAGAAAACAGGACCTTTTCCCAGGGAGGTACAAATCGGGGGTGTGGGGGGATATCAAGTTTTCTTTAAAAAGAACATACAAATTTAGGTCTTACACTAGATGGAGACAGCAGTAGAATCCACACATCAGCAATGAGAATACCCTGACAGGGACAAAAAAAACCCCATATTAATGTTCACAGACTAGAGGCAGTGAAGAGGGAGATGCAGTAATCAGTATCTCAGATGCTGCTAAAAGCAGCTGCCAACTGCAAAGAGCAGCGGCAACTCTGGTCATGAGTGTGCTGCTGCTGCTATTTACAGAAAAGATTATTAGGGGACAAATCTACTAAATGCAGTCTTCTGTAAAAAGGCAAGTATGTTTTTCCAGAGAACAAAAATGATACCCAAGATGCTACTGTACAGTACATGCCTGTTTCGTTCTTCAGCTTGAATTTTGTCCCTTTATAGTTGAGGGTAAATGGACCCTTTGTTCATCCATTCTCTTAGCTTGTGATCGTAGAATCAGGCTGAAAAAATCCTCATCTGGCACAGTTGGTCCTTTTGCCGATGATGGAGGAGCACATCTTTGATCATCCAGTCTGGAACCCTACAGACAGACCAAGCAATAAAGCTGCATATTTACAGGAATATACATAATAATATAGGTGAAACAATACTAAATTACTACCATTTTCAGATTTAAAGGTATTACAAGGATTTAATTTGTAAGCTTTGTTTCAAGTTAAACTACTCAAATTAAGTTGTTAAGACTGCAAGTATAGCTAAAATGGTGACACCTGTCCACGTGTATCTGAAAATAAAACCCCCAATTTAGTTCTTGTTCATATTGCAGAATAAGACTCGCGTGTCCTTTGTACAGAAGAATTTTAGCATTAGTACATGGTATTTCTAGTCTCATAAAATAGAAAATATGTTTGTCTTCCCTTCCTTATACTTCAGAAAGGCATGGCTTTTCAGTGTTCACTACGAAGAGAGGACGGACCTTGGACAGAGTCATTTTTGAGACAAAAAGTCTCAAGAGTGAGCTATCCTTTTGTGCATCTGTTTAAAGCGGTAGCATCCACCAAGACTGAGAGGATTTCATTTTTCCATTCCTCTCTCAATAAGCATGGTCATTGTGTTACATTTGCTACATAAAGTGCACATGAAGAGACAAAATCTATCATATTACTCTCTACGTTCTTTGCTCAAGTCAAAGAAGTAAACAGACAAGCTGCTAAAACAGAACATGGTATTTCATCAGGTTGACGAACACTGTCATTGTAGACTCAATTCCAGGTGCTGCCTCCCACCCAAGCTAACATACTTACTTACCTTTGGAGAACTCAGTATCTGAATTTTGTATTTTGAGATGCTTATCAACCCACCAGGTAAAACACCAAGTCTTTTTAATCAAATTCTCTTTGGTCTAATTGGTATATATACCATGCTCTAACAGACACCTCACTTTGTGTTTTGCCATGAACTATTACTTAAACTTAACATAATTGGAATGATGATCACTATCAGCACTAAACCTTTGATACTGAATTCTTTCATTTGATAAGTTAGGATTCCTGGTATACCAGGTGCCCTCCTAAACGGTTTTTCTAAAAATCATTTTACATGCTCCTTTTAATAGCCTCACTTGTTTTCCTTCACCTTGTCAGCATTTGTTACTTTAGATGGTTAACATGGTATAAATACCAAAATTACACTTACTAGAGACTGGATAATCTGGGGGGAGAGGGATCAAAACAAAAAAAATAAATTGTGAAAAAAAAATTCCTACTTTTTTGTTCTCTGTGTTCTTCATTATCTGCCAAATCAATTTGTATCTTAAAATACATGATAAACGTAGTGGCTTACTTGAAGAAACTAAATAGCAGGATGCACAAATCAAATCCCCAAAGACTCAGAATCTGAAGATTTTTGTAAAAAAACTTGCCTGGCATTTTATCAATATATCAAAGAAGTCATCATCCAGTTCTCTGTTGTTACTTGCCATGAGGTGACCCAGAACTGACTGACTGTTGTGTTGATTAAGACGAAGTCCAGGTAGGTTACTAAAGCTAGCGCGTTGGTCATCTAGCCGGCGGCTCTGTGAGCTAGCAAGTAGGTCTAGAAATTCATCTGTGTGGGGTGAGACTAAAGAAGTAGAAAAGGCTGGGAAGGAAGAAAACAAGTTAGCCTCAAAACAAGGTCTTTTCCATTGTAAGTATTGCATGCAAATACATTTCTAAAGTAGTATTTGGCAGGAACTGAAGTCAGATACCGATTTTTACTTTTAAAAAAATTACATTTTCTCATTGTCTTAGGTGGAGTAGAAGATGTGGCCACTGAAGCAGCTGAGAATCTGTTCTTCTCCTGAAAGTAGCATCTCTGATCATCCATCCTGTTACTCTGGAATCGACTCAGCAGATCAAAGAACCCTTCATCTGCCATTGTCTCTCGACTGTTTTTCTGAAGAGGAGAGAAGAGTTAGGGGTATTTTGAACTGAAGAGTACCTAAAACTAGGACAACTGCATCACAGTTTCAATCCAGTAATATGCTTGCTATTTGCGTATCTAAAATCCATTAAATGAATTTTTTTAGTCATCCGTTTCTATACACAGAGATTTATCATAAGAGGAAATGCTAATAATATGGCAAGCATTTCTGGAAGGTAAAAAATATTAGAAACTTTCATTCTCTGAAATGGAAAGAAACAGTACTCTGATCAGTACAACTGGAGTTACTGCTCCTCAGCCATGAATCCACCAAAGCCCCAAATGCCCATTGAAGAAGAAAACAAGAGCAGCAATGAACCGTTTCCATTGTCTCCCTCAGGTCTATGGTGTCATCTATATCAAGTGTTCTTTTATTTTTACCTGACTTCTGACAAGAGTGCAATAACCTAAAAAATATGTCAAAAATATCTCCCACTGTCTGAATGAAAAAAAATGGATTTTTTTTTTAAGTTTGGAGAAGCAGGGTCTAGAAGAGACTAGAAATAAAATATATGTGCAAAGCTGTCACTTTAGAAAATCCACCAGGAAAAAAATGTTCCAATAGTAGGAAAAGCTTAGAGCCAGCACCACCCAATGGGACAGCTGTAGAATGGTAGATCCTGCATCGTTTTACAGAGCCACAGTGTTTGAATCAAGTAAAACTGAAATGGACAGTTGCAGGAACGGGTTTTCCATAATTTTGATGAGACGAAGATTAGTAAAGGCTATGATCTCCACAGCTCGCCAAACCTACCCTCTGAGAGTTTGGAAGTCGATGATCAATAGAATTACTGGCATCCTGCAAAACTTTGGAAGCGGTGCCGTTTTTGTACTTTTTGCCTTTTAGTCGATTTACAAAATGCAGTTTTGCTGAAGGTTTGGCAACCAGTGGTTTCTGTTTAGCAAGAATCTCACTGTTCCAGTTCTGAACCTAAGAAAACAAGAGTCATGAAATTAAGCCTTCTGATTTTAAGTTACCTATACTTTTACCTCTTATTTGCTGCTGCTTTTCCTCCGCAAAATGAAGCAGCTTTGCATTATTTCATTTATCTAACCACAAGTATGTGAAAACCTAGGCGTTCATTCTGTTACTTGACATGTAATTTTTGAGCTCTTGCTACCGGAAGCAGGTTAGTACTGTTACCGATCAGTCTTACAGCTGAACTGTAGTGTGACGCACGATTGATTAAAATATGGTCAAACAGTACATTTAAGCAAACACACTGAAGTTTCCCGAATGCAAGAAATGTAGTTAATGTGAATGCTAGAACACAGACACAGCTGGCATTTCCAACCTGACATAATTGGAAAGAAGACAAAAAAAGAAAACAAAAATCTGTAGTTTTACCGAAGGGTTAGAGCTTTCTATGAAGTCCTTGATACACACAAAATTCCCAGAAAATATTGAAAAGGAAGAGGGGGAAGAATGCCAGCACGGGAGCAAACAGGAATAACCATCTCATTTCACTGAAGAACAGAATGGATAGCTTTACCAACGTGACCGATTTTCCCCAATTTCTCTTCTAAACTAACAGAATTTTCCACAAAATTGACAGCTTTATCTACAACTGACAAACTCTTATAGTGACTGAGTAAAACCACATTTTTTTTCCTCGACTCAAATTGCAAACAGTCACCAATCTTGCAGCGACACTGCCTACCCAGATGGATTGCCTTTCAAAGGCTTATTTACGATCAGCACACAGATTCCAGCTCTGAGAAGATGGCATCCTGTACAATCAAACCATAATGCTGCTGTCATATGTTGTACTATATATCAAAGACATTTATGGGATGAATTTTCAGAGCATACTCAATGACTATCTTGAAACAAAAGCCCTCTGTAAGAGCTAAGCTGCAATACTAGCTTAATACTTTATTACAAAATCCACATGAAACATTTTAGTATATTTAGGGCACAGACTATGTATTTTTAAAAGGTACCACAGATAAACAGATTTAGGGCGTAAGAAAATACAGCTGATACTGGCCAAAAGCTTCAAGGTTCCCTGCAGAGAAATCACCCTGGACTAAGCCCAAGGTCTTTTCAAATCAGTACACAAAGAGGCTCTTGAGCATCGGTACTGACTTCAGCTGTACCAACTGTCCAGGCGTAATCTTCGAGATTTGATTTCTTATTTGATAAACGTGATGGCAGGCTTTGCATCACTTGAAGAGATGGGAATTAGCTATCCCAGTATGGAGGGAAAAATAGCAATTTCAGGCTGCCACTGGAGTAATTTTTGTAGAACTACCAGCCCACCGTTTACAGGCAGAATTTGAAAAAGTCTCTCAAAGACTAGTACAAGGATCTTAATCAGGAACTCCCAGCTCCAAGAGATTTCTCTGAGCTTGGGGGGGCAGTTACTTTACCTATCTATCTGTGACTCAGTTTTAGCATTTCAGAAATAGCATCCTTGCTCAAAATGGACGTTGAAACTCCTGATGGCTTGCAAGCTGGTTGAAATCCCAAAGTGAAAAACACATGTATTTTAAGTGCCTATAAAATGACTGTAACCAAAGAAAAAAAGTGTTCAGAACAGCTGAGCTAAAGCTTGGGAATTTTACTCGGAATCACTTCCACACTGCACCCTCAAACCACTTTTAAAGAGGAGATGAAAGGCACTCCTTCGACACACACTACAGAACCCCATTCTTTCTTATTTGTGAGGGGAATAAAGCAAGCTTTCCACAAGCCGCTGCAACCATTATATATGACAGAAGTATTATTTGTTAGAATTGTTAGAGCTGCTTTTACCTAACTCTTAAGATCAACTAAATTAAAAAGGGATGCAAATGACACATTAACATTTTGCTAAGTTCTTTCAAAGGTGTTAAGTATAAAACTCCTAACTGTTCATAACTGTTGAAGTTAAAAACCCTTAGAAACATCTCCTTGCAATCTCACCAGCAGAACAGAAAGAAGGAAAAGTGCCAACCTTTTCTGGTGTTAATTTCATAAGTTCCATGTTCTCCATACTGTGGCGGCGTCCTACTCTTGGTCTGGTACCTTCAAGGAAGAATCAAGTTCATCTTTTTATCATTAAGATTTATGGTGTCACCTTCACAGTTGTGCCTGTACGCATCTAAGGTCCAAGGTACAGCAATCGAGTTCCAAAACGGTGCAGTTGAATATATTAGCAGAGAATAAATAACCACTAGTATAAGCAGCCTTCAAAACCACACCAATGTAAGCTACACAAGTTGCTTTCACGGGACACAAGGGAAGGACCATGGATCTTTGAGCAAAGGAACATCAAATGAACTGGGTTCTACTATATAACCCCCCGTGTCGCTAAGATGGTAGGAAAAAAAAAAAAAAGGAGACACATAATTTGGCAGCAAATAGATAAATCTCCCTCATTTAAAAAAAAAAAAAAAGGAACAATTAGAAACATCATGTGAAGAAACTAAGCAGTAACCTGTGATTCACAGTGTAAATCCTCTAGAAAAGGAGGAGCTAAAGAGGTCCAACACTGCAAAGAACCCTTTTTTGCTGGTGGGGAAAAAACGACCAACCCATGCATACTCAACCATCTATAGTCAGAAAACAATGCAAACAACAGATTATTTTTGAAGTTCACTGTTAGAACATACTGCAGAAACAGGCACATACCATTCAAACTGTTATCTACCACATGGCTTTCTGACAACATGGAGTTGTTTGTGCTGTAGCTTAATCCAAGAACCATTTGAAGATCTGAGAGATTAAGTCTAGCAGTGAGTTCTCCACTTCTATCTCCTACCTGCAACCAAATAAAATGAGCAGTTCTATTGCTGTAACAAACAATACACATAGGCAAATATAAAGCAAACCTTGTCCCCTAGATTTCTGGGAAAAAAAGGCTGAAAAAAGTTTCCCTGGTTGAAAACTGAGAATCCTATTTTTAACGAAGTATGTATAAACTAAAAGGTACACAACAAAGCCTACAATAACCTCTGCTAGGCTATTAACTTGAATTCCATGCTGGTGTTATCAGAGGTGGCACAAGAACTAAGGAGTTAGTTGCAGTGAGACATGGCAGAAGTAATTTGCAATCAGCTATCACTCAAAATCCATTCCAGTATTCAAAATTACATGCATGGAGACACCTCCATGAATCACTGCGTAAGCGAGAGCAAAAACCCACCAGCCAACATACGCAGAGTGAAAATCCTACCTCTCTTGAAATCTCCAAGTGCCTTTCTGCAAAATGCATAGCTTGGTCATGATTTCCCAGAGCACTTCCTTCACAAATTCTGAAAATAATAAACCCATTTTCAATTATACCTTTACTCGCTGAACACTAGGGGTCAGGTTTTCATAATATTTCCACAATAAGATCGCTTTGCCAAGAAAAAGGCTATCATCAGAAACCATTCCAACACCAACACACTAAGTATTGCATTTAGAGGAGTGTCATCCGGGTATAACCAGGAATATAAGCAAATCTAATCAAGTTTTTAATTTTTAAGTTCACGGAACATTTTTTAACATACTTTGCTCTTCCTCAGATTGCATGCCTTATTATGCTTTGTATATTCTGCTTATTGAGTTAGAAGTAGCATATTTAAAATTGTAAAAAACTTTAGTTGTACCCAACATTATAAAAAAGGCCTCAGAAAGCACAATAAAACACGCATTACTTGCTACTGTATTATTCTCCTTTCCCCATCCCTTCCCATCTTAATTTATGGAAAAGTAGATGTATTCTTGTGAAGGCATGCAAAATTATTATAATGAAGTCATGAAAAAAAGAGGTTTTCTTTTCCTTAATTTACAAAGAAGATGCTGACAGAAGAAGATACAGACAGTCATTCATCAGTTCCTCTTTCATCTCAGACTTACTAGCTGCAGTACTTTCATGGGTAATTTTTTTCCCCCATATGAAAAGTGGAGCCCAGCATTGCAGGGAATTCACATTAATTCAGCTGTCATGTACAGAACAATGACAGCGGAGTTGGAGGTTATAGGATTTGGTTTAAGTGTCATACATACATTAAAAAAATCTCTTGGGGCTTACTTATCATTTAATTCCTGAGCAATCACAAGGTGTTTCAAATGATAATCAATTGCTTTTTCATAGTCTTGAAGCAAAGTGTATGTGTTCCCCAGGCTGTAGCAGGCCTGTGCTTCCACAGCTCTGTCCTTAAGCTGTCGAGCCAGCTGTAACGTCTTCCTGAAAGAAAGGGTTAGTCACTGCAAACATCACCATAAGGAAGCGTTCTTAAAAGCGTACTTGCGCAACCAGAAGTTAGTTATACAAATTAAACAAACTAGGACACCAGGCTGGCAAATTCGCTGCTAATAAACTACTGTCTTGCAAACTCTTACAGGATTTTAAGTGTCTGTCTACCACTCATTCCCCTCCACTGCAACCTATTTCCATTTACTTTATTTGACAGCAGACTGATCCCTCAAACAGCACCTTCTAGTTTTAATTTATTGCTTTATCAATAATTTATAGTGGTTTTCCTGATGATATGCACTTGAAACAATTTAGTACCAGCACTAGAATAAATACTGTATATTCTCCATCAACATGAGCAAGACAGACCTGTAACCACCAAGCCAGCCTGCCCTTGCTGGGTAAGAAGAATTTGAGTGCTAAGAGGAATCTGCTCAGTACTGAGGCTTTTTTTCCCTTTTCAAAAAGAATGGGTAAGCTCTGGAATCCATGCAGATACTAGTAACACCTACACTGTATCTTTGGCGAGCTTGTATTTTCCCAGGTTACAGCAGCAACTGCTTAGTGGTGCAGAGATGAAGAAAAAAAGTTGATTGAAAAGACAGACAAAATACGTAAAATCATGCTGACGTGCACCACGTGTCTCAGCTAGTGAGGATACCCGAGACAGCCGCACATCGCAGGTATATTCAAGTTACTCAGATCATTCGAGAACTTGCTAAGAGCTAAGGCAGTAATGGCTTGGTTCTAGAATAAAGGGGAATAAATGCGTATGAACAGTAAGATGTGTACAGCGCTGAGAAGAATCTATTTAAAGTAGCAAAAAAGTTAAAAAGAGATATTAACGCTGCCCCTCCCTCAAAAGAACTGGAATAGTTAAACAACTAGGGAAAAATGGCATTTTTGCTAAACAAATGCAGCTCTTTTCTAAGTATATTTTGAAGAGAAGGCTATTCTACAGTGAGCTAAAGTACCAGGCACAACAGAAGTGAACTATACGGGAAGAGTATAAATTGTATTTATAAGCAGTCAACTAACTTGTAGTATTCAGAAGCGGTTTCAAATTCACCCAGGAATATGTAGGCATTTCCAAGATTGCTGTACGCTCTTCTTTCCGCTGATCTATCACCAAATTCTTTTGCAATTAGGAGACGCTTAAAAATGTGAAATAATTGCATTATTTACTCAATTTTGTACTTTGTAACATATATTTCCATACAGAAATGCTTGCTCATGGTTTTTCTGCTGTACATCTACATCTGTTCTTTCGGCCAACAACGCTCAAAAAGAACAGCCAAACTTGAAGCTGTGCCATTAAGATTCAAGACTCGCATTAAAAAGCTTGCAACAAGATCCAACACAATACATGTACTTAAGATGAGAAGCAACCGGTGATACTTTGCTAGAGCAGAATTCCTTACTAGGACATTGTTGTACCTGTTCGTGGGCCAAAACTGCACTCCTGAAGTTGCCCAGAAGATAGTGTGTGTTTCCCAGATTTCCGAAGGCACGTCCTTGTGCTGCTCTATCACCCAGCTCTGTTACTATTGTCAGGTTTTCCCTGGTTTCGGGGAAGTGAGAAAGGGAAGAATAGTGACTTTAAGAGGTTTTTTTTCACTTTTAAATAATAATTTAAAAAAATCTTTCCATTTATATAAAGGCAAAAGGTAGAGGTATTCTACTTTGGCCTATTTTAATGGCCTTTATGCAACCATGAATCTCCCACTGAGTAGGAAACATTTCCTGTGAGATACCAAACTTAACTGCATTCTTACTTAAGCTGATGTGCTTGCTTCTAGTTCTAGAGCTACATTACATACAAGCATCCTCCGGTCCTGTTGTTGTCTCAGTCTGGTTTGAAGAGTACTACTGGATTCTAGCGTAAGGGAAGGACTTGGCAGGTAATAAAAGGTACACTAAAAATGAGGGCATAACAAAAAAAATAGTGCACTCTCCAGTTTAAAAGGGAAAAAATTCACAGGTACCACTGTTCTGAATAGAAGTGTGCCACCACAAATCTCCCAATACTCTTACAGCCTAGATAACCACATCCTCTCAGTCCACAACATTTAAAGCTACTACTTACTCATAATAATTTGCAGCTTTTTGTAAAGCATTTTTTACATCATCTGGAAGTTCCCCTGGATCATGAGTCCCAGCACTAGCTACATTTTTCCCTTTAGAGTGATATACATTTCCCAGATTATACAGTGCTCTGGCTTCTCCAACCTAACCAAAAGTAAAATAAGGCATTAAAATTTTATGCTTCAAAGTCTTGTGTCACAACAACTATTAGTACAATCCACAGTTGGGAAAAAAATTTTGTTACCCAGTTGTCAACACATGCTCTGCCCACTCTGAACATGTTATCACCCACCCACCCACTCAAATTGTTTTGCATACTACTTCCTTTTGAGGTGCAAGATACATAATAATTCTGAAGACCAATTATCATTAAAAATTAAATTTTAAAAACCCCTAACCCACACAACAGGGTAGTATTTATTAATCTGGATCTGCAGTCTTCCAGGTGCAAACAACTCTCTCACAACTATCTTACTGTCTAGAAGAAATAATCAAATATTCAGTATTTACTTCCCTCTGGAAGTTGGCACACTCATTACCCGTACAACAGGGTTCAGTAATATGTATTACCAGTTTAATTCCAGATTCCTAAGTAATTCTTACCTTATCATTAAGTTCTCTGGAAATATCCAGATGTCTCTGACAACAAACAATGGCTTCTTCGAAATTCCCAAGTACCTTTAAGGTGTTGCCCAGATTCCCACTAGCTTTAGCTTCTCCCAGTAGATCTCCAATTGTCCTAAAATTGCAGAAATAAAGCACCAAGTAAACAGCGTGTAATTTGAAACCAAGCAGATGATCAAGGTGTGGTAGACAATCGGAAGAATTTATGAAAGCAGATTACAACCACATAAATGCATATGTATTCATTTTATATCTAAAATGTACTCAGATAAACATTGTTCAATCTGTGGTTACAGACATTTAATTTTGTTGGTGCTGTTTGTACAACTGCTAGTATTCATGGTATTGATCAGCTACTTAGTATTAAAAAAAACCCCAAACACCAAACCAAAAAACCTCACTTCTTTTAGGAAGAGAATGAAGAGAAAATTCTTAATGATTATGTAGAAAGACAGTCCCAGCATTAGACAGAGAGGTTTAACCGTTTCTGCATTTTACTTGACTATCATAGTTCTGTATTATTAACAAGACATACTGCTCTCCCAGAAAGCTCGGAGGTAACACCACATGTCTAGATTCTAAACGAGACTATGGCAAATGACCACCACTGAACCACTCAGACTGTGATACTTGGGGAATAACACAACAAAACAAGTTTCCACAAGATTACAGCACTTGGGCAGGTTAAAGCAGGGTGAATAGACACGTGCCTAAACTGAGGTTAAATACATTAGGTGCCTCTGTCTTTTATTGGATCTATACCCACTCATTAAAAGTCAGATGCATAAATAGCATATGAAATGCATAGGGGTTTTAGATTTCACAATATTGTGAGTTTCGCAGCGAGAAACATGAATGAGTTCTGTCTAGTTAACAGGAGAGACAGCTTAACATTCTGGAGAACCAGAAAGACTGAGTTTTAGAAACAGGAAAGGGTAAAGAAAGGGTGGATTTAAAGAAGCCAGTTAATTACCCGCAAACCTGTTGAGGCCTCAGTACTAAGATTATGGCGCTAGACCAAGTATTTGCTCACAGGTTAAAGGGCAATCAAGCTACCTGCCAGACCCCTCTGCCATCACCACATTCACTCATTATCCGGTATTAATAGCAGGGTTTGGTAGGAAAATGAACAGTCAACTGCTCGTCTCTACAAGAATGGGATGAGACAGAGAACACGGTTAAAGAAAGACTCAAGTTTACCTTGCAAGAGTTAAATCATGGTGATGGTATTCCAAGGCCTTTGCATATTCATGCAAGTAGAAATAGGCATTGCAAAGAAAGATACCCCAGCTCGGCAATCTCCTGCTTTACACAGGCGCTCACCTTCCAGAGCCAGCTCTAGGCAGGAAGCCTCCATCCTGCACAATTTAAGTAAAAAGAGGAACAGTCACTAAATGTAGCACATTGTCCAATAACCCCAGTTCTGAGGAGGCTATTTTACTCAGAGGGTCTCTGTTTAGGACAGGAAGTCAGCACCACAGTGCAAGCGATGAGCTTGGTACTCGAATTATCACAGACACTAGCGCTGAAATGGAAATCGCAACTTCAACAGTGATGAGCAAACATGACATTAGAACAAACAGCTTCAACTTTTTTCTCTCTTTCTTTCTTTTTATGTCTTGGGGAGGAAATCCAAACACTGCTTTGTCCGTATATAGCACATATAGGATTCAAAAATGCAAAGTTTTCACCATCTAGATCATTTCAGAGAAGTGACCTAAAAATCAAGCTATTCTTGGCAAATACTGATTTTGACAAACGTAAGCACTTTTATTTTTAGGTTGATACCATAGTTACCTGCAAAATGTCTTATGGAAAAAAATACTAAAATTCAAATATTTCTGTGTATCAAAGACCATGCATATTTTTCCCAAACCTGTTTCCTATGGAATTCAGTGCTCCTTGGCACTTCACCATTTCCTATAGTGGCACTGCTATGAGAATTCCGAGTGTAAAGAGAAAAAGCTCTAAATTGAATTAACAACAAAATGTCAATTCAGGTTACTTAACTGAGATGCCATCGTTCCAGAAGCCACTGTAATTTTTATTATTATTATGAGAGCATAATTGTGTAATTATACAGGTACAAATACTGCAAGCAGCAAAGAAGATACTCATGAATGAATTTATAGCTGGATTTGCAGATTACATTTGGAACAATGAACAAAGAAGCTGTTAGAGAACTGCAGCTGCCAAAACCCATTCATATGTATTTTTTCTACTGTGAATTCAGGTGCACAAAAGGTAACATTTTAGTAAGTTTAACATTCAAACACTTCCTACTTTCCAGTTCAGAGATGGGAGGGAGGGAGGGAGGGGAAAGGAGAATGAGAAGGAAGACGACTTCAGGGTCTAAGTCTTCAACCAATATGGTTCTCTAGTTTTTTCAAGATACATGCATTTTAAAAAGCTCACAAAACCACTATCATTCTAGTTTTTAAAGATTTTTTAAAAAAGAAAACTCAGTAAGAGACATTCTGTAAGTGTTTAAAAAGCATGTGCTAATACTGCCAAAAAGCGGACATCAACTTCGCAAATTTGTATATTGTTTCGAATTTTTCTTCAAGATGGATTACACAGTAAGTACAAGGGCTTGCACTTCAGACCATTTTATGTCATTAAAGATATCTTCGTTACATCACCATTTGATATTTACCTGGTTTTAAGAATAAACCCTTTAGAAATCTATTCCTAAACCACTGCCCTTCACATGCACAGATCAGTAATAGCAACAATCAAATATTTGCTGTTCCAAAAGTTATTTTAATGGCAGAAAACAGCTGTTTTGACAAGACATAGTCATGAAGTATTTAACATACCTGCAATGTTTACATTTCTTCATTTTTCTAAATTGGGAAAAAATAGGTTATACAACATTCTACTCAAATCTGAGCAAGAAAGAAATATATTTGAAAAATCCAATGACTTTCAAGGGAACTAGAAGAATTTGGATCATAAATAAAATAAGCTACCAACACAAAACAGTACCGTACCTGCTGGTCTTCGACATTCCACAACTTAAGCACAACGAGATAACAGACATATTTAACTTTGGCAATTAAAAATACTGTATGCTTGGTAGTTGGTAAAGATGCAGACAGCAAATGATAACTCAGGCACGAAGTTCTTCCCAGGCCCAACTTCTCAGGCTGGATATCCATAACACATGCAGTATTTTTAGGTGTGGAAACTCTTCTCAGAGAAGTTAAAGCATTCCTATTTGCTAGAACACACAGCCTGGTTTTTATCACATTGTGCATGTGTTGATTGTAAGACAGAAAAAGGCAGAAATGATTAAGTACAGTTAAGTACAGGCAGAAATGATTACACCATCAGCAACTGAAGGTTTAAGACTTAAAACACTTCATTAGGTAATCTTAATCCTATCCAAAGAGGTTCTCTCCGGGCACCTCATGTTAACTGACATGTCCAATTAAAATGACGGCTAGGAAATATGGTGCTCCTTAGTGCAAAGATTTAGACCATTACACAATGTCATTCATTTCTTCAGATTTTTAGCTTGAATGGCTAAAAAGGGTAGAGCTTTCAGTAAAAGTTATAGGTCATAGTCATAGTCAAAATGCTATACTGGACTCCAGTTTCATAAGGGAATTTATCCCATTAAAAAAAAAAAAAAAAGTTTTTATTTGCAACTGTGATGCCTCAGCCACCTCGTATATGAAGAACAGACACAGTTTAAAGAGGCAAAAAGACAGTATCAGAGAATGCTATGGACCGGTAATATTCTTGATATACTGCCTTCAATTAATTTCACACTATGCCAAAGGCTGCCAAATGCCAAGGCAGCACCACCATTTCATCAAGGAACTTCAAATGTAATCTTTCGACTTTGCAATCCCAGACTTAATATAACTTATAAAAATGAAAGGTTTGGGTTTTTTCATACAGAACGTAAATAACTATGAGGCTAAGGCTTATAGCCAGGCTGATGCAAATCAGCTGTTATTACATAGTGTTTTAATTCGACCAGAATTACAGGAAGTAAATGAGAATGGGAATTAGTAACTCTCTAAGTAAAAAAGAACCCAAAATTTAGCGGTACTCGAGTGCAACTCTAGAAAGGTTGTGTTAACAGGTTGCTAGAATCTGTAGAGCAAATTAAAGCTATAATTCCATTTGGATTCCATTTGGATCCATTCTTACTGACCTTCTACAATTTTAAAGTCTAAATAAGCTATAAAAAAGACTAGAGAAAATGAAATATTTATTTCCACAGTTGCCTGTATGCGGTATTAATACTTTATTCACATTACATAAGAGCTATGAGATCAGTTATTTTAGAAGTTTGCTGGGCTTATCCATAAAGTGTCAAAACTGGACTCAGAGAAAGTTTGGGTTTAGTTTGGTTCCCGCCCCCATTACTTAAAGGACTGTTATGAAAATTAACACAACTGGGTTTGGGGTTGTTTGTTTGTTTGTTTGTTTTTTTAAAAGAGATTTACTAGGTGTTCAAAAGAACAAAGTCCAAAAAAGGAAAAAACCCATCACCTCTTAGGAATGTTTTAACCGTCACTACTGATGGCTAAATAGCACGGCAGCAGGCTGGGCAGGGCTAGGTTATCAATGTTTTAGGAAGTCATTAAATAGTTACAAGGAGAATATGAAATTACTTTCTCTGTTCCCAGGGCTGAACTGAATTATTTATTCAACACTCGATGGCTAAACAAAAGACACATTGACTCCCCAGAGATGAGAATAGAA